CAGTCCCGGTCTTGGTCCCGGTCCCGGTCCTAATCTCAATCTCGACCTCGGACACCCCTCGGACTCCATCTTAGGTCCTTCTCGGACTCCATCTTAGACTCCATTTCAAACTCCATCTCAGACTCCATCTCGGTCCATCTCGGACTCCATCTTGGACTCCATCTTGGGTCCATCTCGGACTTCATCTTGGGTCTATGTGTTGGTCTTATTGTGTCCCTTTTTCTAGAGACTCATTTATTGCTCGCTTCATGCTTGTTCCTTGAGCACTCCGTTGGGAGTTCCACTTCCACTTTCGACCTTTGAAGTTGAAGCTTTTAGTCCAAACGTGTTACATTTGTTTCGCTTCGGCCACTACCACCTAGCACCCCTTCGGCTCCACTTTGGGGCTTAGGGATTTGTGTCTTACACCCATGAATAAAAATGCACCCCTTTTTCCAATTAATTAAGGGTTTTGGATATTTAGGATTAAACATCCTTGGGTTTAAATAGTATTTGATCTCCCAAGAAGTTCAAATATAGAAGATTACAAATTTGCACTAAAGGATCGTAGAGACCTGGAAGAAATCAATAGGAGAGCTAACTATAAAAAGGAAGATAATAGACCATACTTCAAATCTGGATGGATTAAATTTTGCTGCGTTGGGGTAAATGCTGTCATCTAAGTGGATTGGTGGCATATAGACATGAATCATCCAATCTTTGGGCAAGGCGTAACCTGCTAACACCAACAAAGTAGACAAACAATTGGGAATTAGCGTCAATCAAATGTAATAAAACCTTTGTAGCTGATATCCTTAGTGATTTTACGTGTCACCACCCCCACAACATTAGAAAGCCTCAGACTTTCATAGACAGCCTGCAAAACCACTCCAATTAAATCTAACATAAAATTGGAGCTTAGTCCACAACCCTTAGAGTGGCTGGCATCTGTCTTGTGTCTTCCCAAGTTAAGCTGTACTTGGTGGAGCTTTTACCAAGAAGGATTCTCCTTTGCTCCTCCTAGAAATCAAAACAGATTTTTTTAAAATAATAATAATAATAACCTCCACTTCCTTGAAAGCTTGTGGGTTCTCATTCAAGTGTTTGATCAGCCACATGAGAGCGAGAGCTGTGGTGTGGTGGCCTCCGAACAGCATTTTCATGAGATTGTCTTCCACTTGTTGATTCGAGAGGAATCCAACCTTGTCATCTTTGTGTGTAATAAACTCGTCCAGTGCGTCTTTGTGCGTGTGAACGTTGGCAGCTAGTTCGGCCCTTCTCTCATTGATGAGCCCATCCAAGAATCTGTGGAGCCTTGCCTGGCCTGCTCAATTACAACAATAGATCCAGAATTAGAAAAATACAAAAACCACGCAAAAACCTGTAACGCTTTGCGATAAGGTGAGAAGGGTAAGTCAATTGGAAACTGGAGCACCCCATTCTCTATCGTTTGGACGTCTCGCATGAGATCGATCATCTCCGGAGTGGAGGGCAGGAGTTTCTGGCACACTAATCCAATCACCGTGCAGTAGCTAAACTGGCAAGAGTATAAAACCAGATCAAACGATCAAGCCACACAAAGACATGATGAAAACCTTGGTGTACTACAATACCGTCAAAGGCAAGATTAGCTTCCCAGCAATTGAATGGAGGGTATGTTCCTACTATTATGATCCTTGACAGACAGGAACTACTTCAAAGCAGATGGTACAATTGTTCGGTTAAGCTGCGTGGAACACCGTGATCGAATCCTTCGCCCTCGCGGGATTGGTAGAGCGGCGCAAGGTCGCGCTCGATAGGGATCAAGCCCGATGGATCCACGCTTTGGGACTCAATTCTTCCTGGGGATTTCGGCCTCGATCCGGGGAAAGAACACTATAGCTGCCTTGTATTCCATGGCGGCTGGATTGGAGGGAGCGGCGGAGAATGTGGTGCCCCGGAGTGGAGCGCCATACGTGATCTTGTCGAGCGCCATCGCCGTGGAATCCTTGAAACAATAGGATATACTGCATAGGATGATTTTCATAAAAGAATAATATTTGAAAGATATCGTATATGAATAAAACGCGCCGGCGGACGATCCAGCAGCCCCGTCCATTGCGATGATCCTGGCAATGGATCCAGCGAGGACGAAGACTATGTTGCCGGTGGCGAGCTCGGCACTCCAGGAGGAGGTAGGCAAACACAGAAAAAAATTCGATTTCTTTTCTTCCAGATCGACTTCGTCCGTGGTTTTCCAGGGAAATGATCACGCTGCTGTACGTGGTATGTTCTTCCATTCTTTTCTCTGTCGCTGGGATCTCTTAGATATTATCGTGTGATAGTTTTGATGGTCCGTGAATGCAGGTGACTTGTTACCTATGCATATTTCATTGCTGCAAAATGCTTGCCAGTTTTGCTGCAATGTAGCGCTTTTTGTCTTCCTGGTAACTTTTCTTTTCTTACTTTCTGGATTTTCACGCACATCGAATATTCTTCTAATGTATTCTTCCTATCCTCGCCGGCATTCGATTCTCTCAGCTGCTGCCTCGCGCAGGGGCCCTGCCGCCACAGTCTCCTGGAATCTTCTCCTCCAATCCTGGGCCTTCGGGAGGAAATGATCCAATTGATCGTGCAGGGCGCTATCTGGCAAATCGATTCGTGCCATGCACCGGGACTTCATTGGGACGAGGAGCTCGACGCCAAAGTGTGTGGAATGGTGAGGGCTGGTGACTTGCATGAAGGCCAAGCGACACCACATATTAGGCTCGCCAAAAAATCTCTCTTTTGCCTCGCGAGCTTTTGTTTTGCATGGATGATGCTCCAAAAGGCCAGGTTTCAAAGCAGATGCCAACATTCCTCCGTGACGGACCATCTTTGGAAAGATAATAAGCTGGCATTTTGAAATTTATCTCTGCGAGCAAATGATATTCCGAAAGACCAGATTTCAATAATATCTTTGCCTCGTTCTGGCAGACCATCTTTACAAAGGTGACATGTCTCATCTCCTCGAGCGTTTACCTCGCAAAAATTCGAGCTCAAAAACTCTCCGGTGATCCAGATGATAAGGAACGTCAAGGTGGAGCTAAGACATAGCCATCCTCGCACAAAACTTTGCAGGTTTCAGCTGAACATGTTTGGAACCGTTTGAAACGCGTTTGGTCTTGGAGCCGAACCTTCGCAAACTATTATACTTGAATGGGTGCCAGCAGTCAGGATGGAGATTCTGGTGAGGCCGAGCGATTGTTCTTGGTGATGTTCTTTCCTGCAATTCAATCAATCACGCAATCATGCATAGTACCTCAGACTGGCAAAAGAGAGTGTAGATGTTCTTGAGCACGGTGGTGGTATCGAATCAAGCGAAGTCTTTCTCAGCTTGCCTAGGTGAGCTGTGGAAGGAGCCACTGCTGCCCGTTGCCAGACTTATACATCTCCGCGAACAAAATAAACACAGCTTTCCATCCAAACGTTGGCCTGCTGTTTACCATAGGCTGGGCCGGATCAAGTCCGCATTCTCAGACATTCATCTTGTGTACACGTCACTGCCCTCAAATGCTTAGTCACTGGCTACTCAAGCCTTACCTGGAAAGACCATGATGCCTTCCATCAATACACCAGTGATCAATAATGGATAAATCATCCTGGTTGAGTCAGGACAATTGTTAATCACTGAGAGTTTTGCTAAACTGCTATCTGACCTAAAAGTTAAGAAGCATCCATTCAGAAAGTATTTTCCAATCCAAGTTGCAATCTCATCACCTTGAGTTTCCTACATCAACATATAAATCAAGGTGAAGCATTCCCCGCAAAGATGCCAATCATGCAATGACCGGCAAAAGAAAAAAAACAAATATAACTTTGGTTAGAAAAATGCTCACGAAAAGAACAGGAGAAAGCATGAAGTTGAATCAATTACCTGAAGATAGTATCGACCATCCGTCCAAAGCGCAGCCTTCTCCAAGGTGATCACAGCAGTTCCTGCGCTTCCCGTGAATCCTGAAACGTAAGCTCGTCGCGTGAAGCACTCGGCTATAAATTCACTCTGCATACGCAGCAGTGAGCTACTTACAAAAAAGAAAAGAGGAAACAAGAAAAAAAATTCCTAGACTCCTTTTCCTCTTTCTCAAGGAAGACGCAAGTACCTGGTGAGCGTCCTCCGAAGGCACGATGCGGACGAAGGCTCTGCCGTGATCCCGGGCCCCGGATTCCTGGGTCCCGAACACAATGCTGTGAGATTTCGTCTTCGAGACGGTGGAAATCGAAGAGGAGCGTCTGATTCCGGCGCCAATGCCCCTGCGCGCGGCAGCAGCTGCGAGAACCGACTGGCGGCCCGGGCGATTGGAAATCCAAACACAGCTCAGCAATCGCTCGCTCCCGAGCGGCACCATCGCGGGAGCGAGGAGCCCTAGAGCTTGAACAAAATTTTCTTCAGCTCCATTGTTTGACCAGCTCTCAGATCTGGAGCTCGATTCCAAGGACGAGAACAATTCGATAAACATCATGTTATCAGAGGGGACATAATGGGACTATTTCTCCAAATGTGACAATTGACTAGTAAATTTTGTATGGAAGCTTCACTTGTACATCATGAACATTAATGGCTGTTAGCACAAAGACTGAGTCCTCAGATTAATACTTTAAATTTTCCATTAAAAGAAAAGAGAGAAATAAGACTTAGACTATTTCTCCAAATGTGACAATTGACTAGTAAACGTTTTATGGAACATTAATGGCTGTTAGCACAAAGACTGAGTCCTCAGATTAATACTTTAAATTTTCCATTAAAAAAAAAGAGAGAAATAAGACACAGACTATTTCTCCAAATGTGACAATTGACTAGTAAACGTTTTATGGAACATTAATGGCTGTTAGCACAAAGACTGAGTCCTCAGAATAATACGAACAAAAAAGACAGAAATAAGACTTTAAAAAAACTCACAACAACCTTTCGAAAGAACCCAACTGAAGTCTGGTTTGTGCAGGATATATTCGAGAGGTTAATCTCAAACTTGTGCAGTGAGTGCTTCGTTCCTTCTCGCAGAATGGAGCTTTTCCTGCAGTCCTGGAATGCTCTGTACTTTCTCGTGTTTCTACTCTCTTTGTGGCTAATCTCCCAAAAGTTCTACAAATCATCCACGATCAAGCTCCCGCCAGGAAGCCATGGCTTGCCTCTTGTCGGAGAATCTCTCTCTCTCTTTTGGGGATCCCCTCTAGACTTCCTCAGCACTCGACGCAAACGGTTCTTTCGCTTCGATCTTGCTTTAACTGTGATCATTTTACAGATTTGGAGGAGTTTTCTGGAGTAACTTGCTTGGATCTCCCACCATCGTTGCAACAACGGTAGAGTCGGCCAAGTTCTTCCTCAGCTGCGCTGACTGTGGCCCCTCGGGTTTGTTTGCCCGATTGATTGGGCCAAAATCTGCAAGCGAGGTCATCGGGAGTGAGCATGCGCTCTACCGGAGAATCATTCTGGGGATGATGGTTCCAGAGACGCTCAAGTGCCACGTCCAAATGATTGATATCTTGGCTCAGGAGACTCTCGAGTCGTGGGG